TTCCACTAGAATATGTCTGGCACCTGTAGTAATAAATTTCAAAAACTTACTGGCTCTTAGTCCAGTGTCAGAAGTAAGATTAATTTGATGTCTTGATAAATCCCATTGTTGCAGTTTATTTACATGCTACAGCCAACTTTCTGCTGCCTGAGTTAGCCAGGGTTAGTGTGGTGTTAAGGTCAGAGATACACAGCAGGGACATAAATGTACAGTCACATCCCAGTTAGTGCTTATTGTTAATTTTTTAGACACTACTTTTTTAGACTTTTTATGGAATAAAAATTCTGCTAAGGAAAAAAAAAAAACAAACAAAAAACATGGAAAGAACAATTAATAAAAATGAATAATTCAATTAAATTTTACACTGGGATCTGTAGACTTTTCTCAGGTTTTGCCTTTCAGGATTTTCTTTGCACTTGTAAGGAAAATAGCACTTAGATTATCCTGACTTTTAACACAGGGGAAAAACACGACAGAGATTTGTCTCTCAGTGATAAAACCAGCAAAAATAGAACACATACGATAACCCTGACTTTGAAAAACATCAGTAAAAAGCCCCCCGAGCTCCGTGAACACGTTGCAGACTGCACATGTCACATAACTATGGACTAGGAGTTTTTTGCCTGAGGCTCCCACATTTAACAAAGGGAAACACTGCATTCAACAAAAGATGCTATTCTAGTTATGTGCCCTTTTACCCTGTCAGAGAAACAGCTGGTATCATAAAGTCACAGCTAATTTGTATCATGTCTGCACTAACAGTCAGATTTAGTTTGTATCAAACTTTCAAAGTTGGACTTAATACCAGTTGATGGATGACAGCTTTTCTTGCCTCCCCCCTTCTCAAAACATATTTAAACATTGCCTCCCACATAAAAAAAAGCCCTCCCAATATTCAAAATACAAACAGAGTCTTTAACATGTTCACATAACCAAAATTTATGTTAAATATAAATGGTTAAAACTAGCAAATTTAAAAAATCCTGAAGAAGGGTGAGAATACTATTCCAGCAGTTCAGTGACAAATAAATAGTGCTTTAAGACAGACATGTGGGTACCAAGTGTAACAGAAAAGAATTTTCTCCTAAATAAGAGCAGAAAAAAGCCCTGCCTCAGGTAATCTCTTCAAGTTTGGGGTATCTGTTCTCCTGAAAAAATTCCAGTCTGCCTGCAGAGACTGTAAGGGTTTTTTTCAAGGTCAGCACTCAACAATTTAGGGAAGACCAATTTCACTTATATTTTCAGGAGACCTGTTTCTCATTTAGGCTATTAAATGTCATCTACTTTCATTTTAAGACCCCTGTAGCAGAATGCCTTAACTGTGTAAAGGGACTCCGGTGGAAGTGAGAGGCCAAAACCTCAACAGTTCCAAACCCACAGCGCTCACGTGAGAAAAAGTTGCAAAAAAAATCAGGATTTTGTTGGAAAACAGGCATGGGGAACTTCCAGAGATTGGGGGGTTCAAGCTCAGTTCATATCAACATCTAACAATGCTGCTGTGCTTCTGAGGTGACCCCACCACAACACCTGAGCATACAACGCGAGCTGCAGACAAGATACTCTTTTAAAATTTCATCTGCTTCTCACTTCCACATTATATAGAAATTTTGGGCCAAATTTTGGGTGTATTTGCATTTACCATGATCTGAAAGCATCACCTAACTCTAGGCAAGGGAAATCTGTGTAATGCTGCACAGGATAATTATTATCAGGGCTCTGAATAATTGGCCCCGTTTATCAGAGAGAGTTTGGTCTGCTCTGTGAAGTTACACACACCAAGCCAAAAATGGCCCTGGGAAGTTCAAAGCAGCAGCAGAGATGCAGCTTTAAAGTGCTTTAAAGGAGAGCTTATTGTGATGGAGCTGAGAAGGAGCAGTTGTCAATGAAGACAGAGGAACCCCAGCTCCCGGCCTCTCTCTCCCTCAGCACACGCATTTCCTGACTTAAGAAGGGCAATATTGCACAGAGGACAAAGACACAGCTTCTGCTGTCTGATGGACTCCCTGCCAGTGAGCAGAGCCAAAGTGCAGCATGCTCCTGCCACCTCCTCTCCAGTGAGCTCTGTCTGCTCCCTACCTGCTGAGAAAATGCAAATAATCAACTGCACTCCCTTCACTCCGAGCACAGCAGTGATTCTGCCCTTACATATGATCTTTCCGCTTGTTCAGAATTTTTTTATTATTTTTTTCTTCCTCCTAAATGTTCTTTAACCTCTGTCTGACAGGGCATGGTTTATCAGAAGTAGATTTCTCTTCAGCTACTCAGGGTGTCTGTTTTACAATTCCTAGGTGTCGTAATTCCTGGGAAATAAAAATGTTCTTCATCCAAAACTCCCCCAACAAAGGCTTGAAAGTAATGCAGAACTGCAAAACAACAAGCAGGGCAGAGAACAGCCTGCAACAATGAGTCACAACAGGTTTACTTCCTTGGGCTCACCCTTAAATGAAGAATAACTTTCTATATCTAAATGATGTTTTAGCTTTGTTTGCAGCCACTCCAAACAGTTGCAACACCTCCTCAGCGACCCAACACAACACAAAACCCACCAGGCTCTCATCTCTCACAAAAGAGCTTTTCCAAAATGTGCCCCAGCTGTACACACAGCTCACCTGAGGTCCCACAAGCGAAACCTGGGCTAGATTGAGTCCTGCCCCTCCTTTTCCAAGTAGCAGAGAGGATGGATGAGAGAAGGAAGACCCTGTGTCCATCTAACTTTACCTCATCACAGTAAAACCATAGAAAATATCTTCAGAGACTCTTACAGAAATGCTTTCAGGCTTGATTATTTAGGAGAAAAGCTGACCAAACCCATTCTTGCACAATGTTTCCTAATGGCAAACATCTTTCAACAAAACAAACATTTCCAAGGGAAAATAAAAAGCAATCATCCCTATCCAGTAACTCTGAACCTTAACCTTTGAGGGTAGCACTTGTTTTTGAAAGTAATTCATATAAGCACGTCAGATTGCCTTCCAGAATCAGGTTTGAGTGTACTCAAGAACTAACAGAAGTCTTAACAGGACTGTCATGATAATACTAAACTGTTCCTGCATTTTATGTTCAGATAAAGAGATGCACCTCATTTCCAGATAATGCTGTTTTTTTCCTTTTCCAAATGAGTGTATTGGTCCACAACATTTGCTTTAATGATTTTCTAAAGGCAACTAATAACATGGTGTTATCATTCACATCCCCTAAAACCCATCCCCCTGTTCAGCCAGCTTTGTCATGTGAAAATGGAGGTTAAGTATGGAAAATATGAGCAGATTTAGCCTTTACTTCTTTGTGACTGAATTCTTTTGTCACCTTGACAAGGGCTGGGCACCAGAGGGACTTCAGCATGAGAGAGGTGACACTTACCCTGCACCCTACACTTGGAGAAGCTGGCTGAGTCCCTGGGGGATGGATTTTCAGATGCAATTTATGAACCAAAATAAGGAGCCAGCCCTAGCTCAGTTTTCAGGGACTGAAAACTTCTTCTTCTTCTTCTTTTTCTTCTTCCTCTGCCTTCTTTCAACACCACAGCCTGCGTGTTCAGACCTGTCTACAAATACAACTCCAGCTGCTGAAGTATCAGAAACACTCTGGAGGGCAGTCACTGCTCTCTGAATATCCAATCCTTAGCACAGGAAAAAGGACTTACATTGATGATCCCACTTGCTTTTGGACAGCATGGCCTTCTTAGCCTGGTTTCATATTTTTAAGGAGTTTCAATACCTCATAAACGCACTACTCGTGGAAGCAGGTGGGAGCTTAAAGCTAGACATCTCATGGGAAAGAAGTGTTCCATGGGAAATTTTAGAACATTTAGGCTGGTTCTGAATCAAAAAGAAATCCTAATTTCGAAACACCAGCATTTCCTATGAAATTCCAGATTGCATCTGGCTTCAGTTTTAAATAGTTCCCCCCAACAAAGGGCTCGAAAGTAACGCAGAACTGCGAAACAGCAAGCGGGGCAGAGAACAGCCTGCAACAATCACCAGCCCATTCAGCACTTGCACAAACCTCCTCACAAAGAAGTGTAGGCAAAGCTAAATTTGCTTCCCCAAAAGATGATGACAAAGCCAGCTGAAATGGGCCCAGCAATGCTGGTGGGGAGGGAAGGCAATGCGAGCAGGGTCCAGCCTGCTGCTGTGTGTGTGTCTCCTCCTCCACACTGCTCTTGCCAAAAAGAGGGGACAGAGGAGGCTCAGGCACAGAGAAAAAGTGGTCCCCCACCAGTGACAAGCAGCTCTTTGTACCCTGAACTGACTGAAGATGCTGGTATTTAAGGGAGCTGACTCAATGCTGAAGCAATAATATTTCTGAGCCATCGTTCTGCTGTCACAGGCACTGCCTAAACTCAGAGCCAGTCCAGAGTTTGTCTCCAGTCTGGAATTTCCGTATATTGAGGGGCTAAAGTTTACACACATTATAAACACTTCCTTTAAATGGTTTGTGAGCCCTCACTTGTTCTGGCAGTGAAAGAACAATGTTTGTAAAAAAAAAAATGTCTAAGTGTTCCATGCTGTAAATAGTCAGTAAACAGTTACTTGGTCTCTCACATTCTTCTCAGAGCCTGCCTGCTCTAAAAAGAAGACACAACAGGATAGCAGCACACCAGCATATGATCATAACACAAGTAATTATGATTTAAGACCCCCACTGCAAGAAAAAAACTTGCTAAAATCTAGTGGAGAAAGAGAGCTTCTAAAAGTACATCGTACATCGACAACATGATTACTGTAAAACACAAAGATTTTGAGTTGAAGGCAAAATTCCACATGAAGTGCTTTAAATCTACTATCAGTTCTGGACAAAATAATCACTGGTGTCAGTGACACCAGAGGGACAAGAGCCAAGGGTCTGCTGCAGGGTTCTCCACTGATTTTCAGAGGAATTTGGATCAGCCTCCAAAGAAATAAGAAAACACACAAGAAAACAAAAAAAAAAAGCCTCAAATAAACCCCCTGAATACCACAGGAAAGGAAGTCTGAGGTAACTTCTTTGATCATACTCACAGGAAAGCAATCAGAGGAAATACTCTGAGCTTTTCAGTAACAAACCAGCTGCTTGATGGATCAAAATGATGACTCCAGAAAAACAAGGTGATACCTATACAAAAACAGAAAATAAAGAACCTTATTTAGCAAAGACATAATTACTCTGCATTCTTCATTCTTCTTTGGCAAAGTCTTCTTTAATGACACTCCTGGAAAGTTGGGGTTTTTTTTTTAAGGTATTGAACAAAACTTAAAAAGTTTTTAAGACACCAAAAAAACCCACTGTGAAAAGCTCTAGAAATTTGAATTTGCCAAGGAGATTTTGATTTCCCAAGATCTCTTAACCAAGTCACTCACTAAAACATCTTTAAGAAGTGAAGCTGATACAGACTCTTGTTATTAGAACAAGATGAAACACGCTGTCTGGCCAGCAGTGAATTTTCACAGCAGAACCAGGTTTCCAGCACATCCCCCCTGAGGAAATAGGATATTCCCTGCTTTATAAAACAAGTTCAAAAGAGAACTCCAAAAGCAGATAAACAGTCAGATGACAGTCTGTAGATGATACAAAACTATTCAGTTTAATAAAACTTAGAAGTCTACTAATTGGGGAAAGAGTTCACGGTAATGAATTTCTAGAGGCAAAATGAAATCATCATTAAAAAAGTAAAGGTACAGGAGAAAAAAAACCAAAGACAGGCTCTGCATTCAGCTACCTCTTTGGTAGTATACAGACACATCAGAGTAAAAATAAAAACTTCACTTTTCTTTTTTTTTTTCCTTTTTTTTGCTTTCTTCAGAGAGCCTCTCGTGGTCCTTTCTCTTTAGAACCAAGCACCTTCGTATTGAACATCCTGCTGCCAAGAGAGGAAATGGATTATTTAAAAATCAACCTAATTTCAGTTATTTTCAGATAATAGCATGGGGTTGGTACTTGCATTCATTTCTGCTTATTCACTGGAAACTCAGGCTTTTGAGGGCTCAGTAAAAATGACTGCTCTGTAATTTCAACAACAATTTTACCGTCTGATCTCTAGGTTTTAAGACACCTGTCACTGATTGAGATTATTGCAAATACTGGGGTGGCCAAAGCCAGAAATTTAATCCAATGTATTAGGAGTTTGAGTATTAGATTCAAGAGATCTCAACCCCCACTTGATGCTGAGCATTACTGTGCATATACCACATAAGAAAAAAGAACAATGTAAGACATCCCTGATCACCAGGGTGTGAAAAGAACAACCAAGAGCTTTAAATCTCCTTCCTCTCCCTGCTTACACCTGCTTACAGCAAGAGCAGACCAGAGTTCCAGCTCATGAATAACAAGGCCCTTCCAGGTCACTGAATTAATTCCAGCTTTTCCACTAAATTGAAAATCTTACTTTGCTCATTTCTATTGTTTAGTGTTCCCCACTTGACTCTCAGCAGGAATAACTTCAAGACATTCAGATCATGCTTTTAGAAAATCCTGGGTCTAGAAGTCGTTTTTGGTTTGAAACCACTTGGTCTCTTTCAAACTCTTCAACATTTTTAAAATGGAAACAACCCCCCAAAAATTTTTAATTTTCTTTCCCAAAGTCATGAAGAGCTTTTCTGCTCTTCTCCTTGTGTTTGCTCTGTTCTAAACCAACACTTTTCTGAGTCAAGCTCCACATAATTTTTTTAGAGAATCCTGGGTCTAGAAGTCCTTTTTGGCTTGAAACCATTTGGTCTCTTTTAAAACCTTCAATATTTTTAAAATGCTTTAATTTTTTTGAAAAACAACCCCCATAAATATTTTCATTTTCTTTACCACAGTCAAGAAGACCTTTTCTGCTGTTCTCCTTGTATTTGCTCTGTTCTAAACCAATGTTTTTCTGAGTCAAGCTTGACATAATTTGTGATATCAACAAAATGAAATATTCTCTCACAGTGTTTGCCTTCCAAAAGAGCTTCTATCTCACCACAACTCCATTGTAAACTAACTGTGAAGGGTTACAAACAATTTAACAGAGAGGCAATTTCCATACAACTTCAGCGTGAAGGAAGCTCAGGCCCAAGTCAAAAACCAGACTCCACAAATCCAAACCCTGCAACCCAACAAACATCCCTCAGGTTTGGACACACTTTGTGCTGTAAGCTTCAGTAGTAAAATTGTCGCCATTTTTACTGATTCTTCACTCCTTCGAACTCCCCTGACCATAAACCTTGGGTTCATGTTCTGGTGTCATTGTGAAATGGCATTAACAGCATCCCAGACACTGGCACACACCCAGCACTCCATTTCCAGCTCACATGGGCACTGGATTCCCAGATAACACAGGACAGTAGCCATTAAATACAATTTTAGCAAGAGAAATGCTTTTCTCAGAAGCTCTTAAAAATGCTTGATCAGAGGTACTTTGTGGCTTAAGAAACTCAGGAGTTGCTGCTCTCTTGATTATAGAACCTGGGGAAATCAAATCACATCCAAGGTCATTCAGCAGTTGACCTGTGACACTCAAATGTGGGTTGGGGAGGGTTATTAAAAATATATATTTTTATATATATTTTTGCATGTCCACACAAAGAAAAACATGCTTTCAACTCCCTTCTGCTCTGTTAATTAATTTGATTCCATTCCACCTGGTAGCTTTGAATGGAAATTTATGGAGCCCAGTTACCAAACTCTGTGTTGCAGCTATTCCATTTTATCCAACAGATCCCAGCAGTGATCAATATCAGATGTTCAGAGTAGAACAGAGGGACAGGGAAAGCACATAATAATGCTTCCCATAAATACTCTACAGCAGCTTGTGACTTCCAGAATGCCTGAGTCAAAGGTGGAATCCACACATTAAATTACATCAGTAGGGGAGAGTGGGGACATAAAGAATAGTTGAAAAGTGCATTTGAACGTTCTTTGTGACAAAGGAGATAACCCAGCCCAGAGGACTGATCCTCTGGTCTGTAAATATAGCAAATATTTCACAGAAGCACAGGACAGTTCAGGTCACAGAGACAACACCTCTGGAGATCACCTGGTCCAATTCCCTGCTCCAAGCAGGCTGCCCCAGCACCGTGTCCACTTGGGGTCTGACTGATTCCAAGGATGGAGACACCACAGCCTCCCTTGGAAATCTGTTCCAGTGTTGATCTCTCACAGGAATAAAGTCCTCCCTTACGTTTAAAAGGAATTTTTAAATTTAAATTCCTGTCCTTTTCCTCCTGTCCTTTCACTGGCACCTTTATGAAAGATCTGGTTTGGTTGTTTTTGTTGTCACCTGTCCCCACTCCCATGGTGACAGATTCACAGTGTGTGACAGCCACAGAGTGGTTGTTAAGCTTGAATCTCATCCCAGTTACAGCCAGGAATTTTTGTCCATAGATTTCATTATTGGCTGTTGTGCAAATTATTTCTTTTCCCTCAAGTCATGAAAATGACAGCAGAAAAACACCTTTTTTTAAAAAATAGTCTAGGCAAAGTATTTCTTTGAATAGCCACTTCTTCCAGAACTGCTTTTCTCCTTTTGATTTTTATGTTGTCACTGTTGTCATGCTGTTTCTTTATTTGGGAAGATATTACAGAAGGACCACTTAAAACTTTTCCTTGGGCATGCCACGTGCAAGAAGAAGGCTTTTCAATACAGGATTTGGCAAACAAGGGCTGCCAGCAGGAGAGGGGACAAGAAGCCTCAGACTCATCCATTACCAGGATACTCAAAACATTTATTTATATTTATATATTTATATATAAATATTTGTATTTTTATATATTATATTATATTATATTATATTATATTATATTATATTATATTACATTACATTACATTACATTATATTATATCTTTAAATTTTTGAAAACCATAGTCTAATCCCACTGGCTTCAAAACACACATTTACCTGCTCTGCTGAACACAGTTGGCTGAGCTCTACCTCCCAGAGGGGTGCAGCCACCTCCTGGGGGAAAAATTTTGTCAAGAAGAACAATCCTTCCCTTCTGCCACCCTAAGATCCTTCAATGAGAAGCTCATCCGACCTCCAAAGTTTCAGAAAATGACAAATTTCCCCTCCACCATCATAAAATGCTAATTATCCTCACGCTTGTAACTTTTTAATTTGTTTTTTCTCTCTCGATTCTGCTGCACTTCTCCTGTACTTTTCTTCACTCCTGGATTTCTCAGTCCCCTTTGGGCTGAGCTCCTTTGGGATCCTCCCTCACGGGGAGTTCTGTTTATCTCAGTTCTCTGGGTTTGAAGAAAACTCTAAAACTCATCAGGATCCTGTTTCTTGTGTTTATTAGGATGTTATCAAAGACTTGGCAGGTCTCTCCAGACTTTCTGCACAAGTTCAAATTCACCATAACCTGGCTCATTTTGCTCTGATGGCACAAAATGGCCCCAAACCACGTGGCTGTTTCATCTTTATATCCATTTTTTTACCCAGTTAACAATAGACAGGTGTATTGTTCTTATATATTAACAAATAAGTTTTCTATATCTACTTATGTAAATAAAACTATGACTAACTTACAACCAATCACTCTTTGTGCTCCTAAAAACTGCAGAATCATGGAGAAGGAAGAAGGAGAGCTAAAAACCACACCTTTTTTTCCCTCCATCTTTACTCCATGTATTAAACCCTCTAAAATCTACATTTTTCACTTCAGTGACATACTAAACATTCTGCTGCTTTCTACTTAATTTTTTATAAATCCTGGTTTACCCAGGGATATTTGGAAGCCTTTCTGTCAATGACAAATAGGATTAATACTTTTTTGGAGAAGAGGACAAACAGAGAAATGTCTCTCCATTTGTGGATTCCTACAATGCTGACTTGGGTAGCAGGATGCTCTAATATTTTGGAGGAAAGTCACTCCTCTTACATTCACAATGATGCTCTCTCAACAAAAAGGAACACATTTCAGACACAATGAGTGCCCTGCACACGGGGTTTCATTCTGCACATCCTAGAGTGGAGCAGGAAAGAAAGCTAAGTGCTTCCTGAGGTTAAACACGGCCCAAAGGAGGACTAGGGATGGCTCATCCTGAGATCTTTGCATGGAAATTCCTGAAAGTAGAGGCTAACAAGCGAAGTATGTGTGCATCTGAGCAGATGTGGGCTGGAACAGCATCCTTGGCCATGCAAATACAG